TAATGATCTCTGAGCTGTTTCACAGTTCTGTCAATTCTAAACACCAGCAGTGATGCAAAGATTCTTGACCTCAAGAACGCCAGTGTCGGGCTTCCCTGGTGGCGCAGTGGTTAAGAATCCACCTGCCAATGCAGGGGACACGGGTTCGAGTCCTGGTCCGGGAAGATCCCACATGCCGTGGAGCAACTAAGCCTGTGTGCCACAACTACTGAGCCTGCGCTCTAGAGCCCGCAAGCACAGCTACTGAGCCCGCGTGCCACAACTACTGAAGCCTGCGTGCCTAGAGCCTGTGCTCTGCAACAAGAGAAGCCATGGCAATGAGAAGCCCGCGCACTGCAAAGACGGGTAGCCCCTGCGCGCCGCAACTAGAGAAAGCCCGCGCGCAGCAACGAAGATCCAACACAGCCATAAATAAATTAATTAATTAATTAATTAATTAATTAATTAAAATTATTTATTTATTAAAAAAAAAAAAAAGAATGCCAGTGCCTGGTGGCGCACAGCTCATTCCTGGCCAGTCCTACATCCCTTCTGCAAAGTCATCTCAGCACCGCAGACAGGAGAGCCCACATGTTTGCTCTTTGGATTCGTCTTTGAACCAGTTCTAACATCTTACTGGATCTCTCATTAGTAAATAACAAATATTTATTATCTCAATAAAAAATCATCAATACTTGCTCATTTTTCATGTTTAGATGTGAGCCAGTGTCATACCTGTTTTACAATTTATCTATAGCATTACTATAAACTTGAAACAAGCTAAGAGCCATCGATAGAAAAATGACTTTAAAACATGATGGCCTATCCATCCATTTGATGAAATACCCTGAAGCCATTAAAAGAGAGAGTGTATATTAATCTACATAGAAAGATTTCCCAGTTTACCAAACAAAGAGTAAGCTGTCCAAGTGCGCTGACCTGCGACTGGCTAAGGAAGGTACCTTTTCCCCGGGACACACAGACATTAGACATGAGGGTGTGACATCAAGCAGAGGCAGAATGGGGGTGGGGACACTTATTTATCCTCCTCTGCTTTGTGCTGTTTCCTCACTGTTGTTCAGCTGAGAGCTGAGCACACACCACGTGCAGACACACTCCAGGCTCTAGGGATGCAGCAGCAAGATGGGCCCTGCCCCAAGTGCACCATCTCTGTAAACTGGAAAGTTAAAATCGACCTCCCACCAACCTGGCCTGCAGTCACTAGGATCAGTGACCATCAGAGGCAGAATGGCTGCGCCTGCCCGTCCTCGGGTCTGGCTGCAGCCTCGTCCAGGGCCTTCCCGAGGACCCTGCAAGCCGGGTCCTGCAGCCCAGCCCAGAGCGGCCCTAGGCCACCCTGGGCTGTTTCCGGCTGTATCTTGGCAGCACTGTGGAAGCTCCCGAGGGCGGGGTGTCTGGCCCACTCCCCTCTAGCCCCCAGCACCTTGCACGGTGGCTGGAACCTCCCAAGCCATGGTGTCTTCCTCTTTGTATAAGGGCACTGATCCCTTGACGGCCCCCACCCTCATGACTTCACCTGAACCTAATCACCTCACAAAGGACCTGCCTCAAATGCCATCACAATGGGGATGAGGCTTCAGCATATGAATTTGGGGGCAGGGGACACAAACATCCAGGCCACAGCAGAGGTGGAGGCTGCATTTGCAGAATACAAGTTCAGATAGTGATGAATCCACAGAGCAAGATAAGGTTGGGGGAGGCCAAGAGGGTGACCGGGAGGGGCCTCTCCGAGAGGCAGCAACCACAGGACGAGGAGAGTGGGGCGGCGGGTCAAGGGCAGAGGCCCAAACCCCAGGGGTGCCTGGGAACAGAGCAGGCACAGAAGGAGGCAGCGGGGTGAGTGGGGCCACCTGGAGGCCCCCGCATGGACCCTGGGCCCTCAGCCCGGGAGACGGGAAGCAGGAGGGCAGCAGGACCTGGGTTCCATTTGCAGGGCACTCCTCTGCTCACAGAGAAAGGACAGGGGTGTGACGGCCCCGAGGGAGATTCCCGAGGGACCACAAAGGGGGCTGGCAAAGCTGCCGCTGGCCTGGAAGTGGGTGAGGGTCGCTGGTGATGGCTCCAGGAGTCTGAGGCCTGGGGAGAGGTCAGAGCTGGGATGGGCACAGAGGGCAGGGAAGCATGGGGAAGCCAGCAGGGGTGAGGCCAGGCTCTGCGTCTTCTTGAAGGCTGACCACCCTCTCTGGTGCCGTGGCCACGTTCGGGACAGAGCACACGAAAATCTTAGTTCAGAACTAAGGATGGGAACACAAACGGTATTTCCTCCTGTCTCCTGCATTTTTACAGTGATCAAGTTTGACAAAAAAGCAAAAATTACTCCAAGGGTTCTAGAAAACATGAAGGTTGTATTCAGTTCTCCTGTTTATAAAAGCAGGTCATTAAAAGCCTACTTTGAAAAATATCATAACTGCATAATAGGAACTCCAGGATTTTTTTTTAAAAAGTACAGCCACCCAGCACCCCGTGTCTCAAGGCCCTGCCCCCTGGGCCCTGGGCCAGCGCCAGCCTTGCTCTGGCCCAGGGTGGGGCTGCTCGGCTTCCCGACCCACGGCTGCTGGGCTATGGGCAGGGGGCTGAGCACCCAACTGACCAAGTCGGCCCAAGAAAGGCGGTGGGGGGGCTTGTGTTAAAATCTTACTTTTAAGAAGTTGCCACTGAAATTTCTTCCTCCTCAAGAGGCTCCTGCTCGCAAACTGGGAAGAACGTCCCGCAGCTCTCATCACTCCTTACGTTCTATTCCCTTTGCCAAGGCGGAGTGTTCCAGAAAGGACGCGGGCGCCCTGCACACAGACCTCGAGAGAAGCACCAAGCTACCTGCCCGCCGGTCGGGCTCTGATTCCGGAAACAGCCCGACACGGCTGAGTGTGCAGCCAGGAGGCTCAGAAAGGAGGAGGCCTGTGTTTCCTGGGGGTCAGAGTTCACAGAGCCGCCGCCCTCTGAACTCACCCCCAGACCACCGGCTACTTACTGTCCTAACTGCACCGAGGCTCCAGGTCATCAGTAAAACAGGAGGGAAAAGGAAGGCTGGACGTGAGCCCTGCGCCTTCAGTCTGGGGCCTGTCAAGTCGGCGTCTCATGCCGGCTCCCCGCGACCGCTCCCAGGGGCCTCTCACTGAGGGCAGCCCGGCGCCCGAACAGGCCTCCCACCTGCATCCTTGAGGCTGTCACCACCAAGACCCCTCCCAGCCCGGAGCCAGGCCCGCTACCCACCACATCTCACACCCTGTGTTCCTCGGGCACTGCCGAGGCCCAGCCATGAAAAACAAACGAACAAACATGACAGCTGTTCGGGCCGAAACTAACACAGACCAGGGAACATACAGAGCTGGACGGATGGCTCGGGCCACACACCAGGGCCTCTCACTCCACGGCCACAGGCAGAGGGAGCCACCGGAGCCAGACCGCGCCCCCGAGGTGAGCCCTCGACCAGGAAGGTGGTCTCGCCCTGCCCCCTCGGACAGCTGCCTGCCTGGAGCTGATGCAACGGCTCTGCCAGGCGAGGCTTCGGCCGGGGCCCTGAGGTCAGCTCTCCACCTGGGCAGGGCAGAATGTGGGGAAGGAAGAGCTCAGAACCCCCAGGTGATGGGGAAACGAGCCCCACTCACTACCACAGACACCCCCCCCCC